GACCCGGGTGGTGGCCAGACTCTCAGTGTCCATCGAGTCCTCGGAGACCCAAGAGCTCTAGCTCTACCCTTTCCTCTCCACCTCACCTCCCTCCTCCACCACTCCAGGCAGGTTTACTCTTCTTGTTGGTCTGGGGGCTCATTGCACAGCCCTGTGACATTGGAGCTTCTATATACTGATGCCTAGTAAATACTGGTAATCTGGGAACAGAAGGGGCCATGAGAAGGAGCAAGAAGTGGGCTAATAGAAAACCAAGTAAAATGGTAGCATAGACCCAGCAAGACTGGCTTGTGTTTGAACTGAGTGGTAAGGTCAGCACAAGAGCACTTTCTCCTGGAAATCAAAAAGATTTATGGAAGGATATGCACCCAATCTATCCCATCCACATGCATAGGCATAAATGCATGTCTGTGCACATGCCTGCGTGAACACATACACACACACACACACACACACACCACCCTTTAATTGCGGTAGGGCTCCTGCATTAGTATTGGGATGGCTCTCCAGTGAGTAGTGGCCTAGAGAAAAGACCAGGTTTCCGGCCCTCAAAGAGGTGGATTTAGACCCACCCACCCACCCCCCAACAAGTACCAGAATTTCTCTTTAATGGTCTAAGTGACCGTGTATTGTTCCAAAATGAACCAGATTCTTTAAACCCACTAAGGGCCATTGGTGGTATGGGGTAAGGGTGGGCTGGAGCTAGGGGTGCAAATGTCCTAGCACCTCCTTCCGCACCCTTTAGCCAATCCCATTCAGGCAGAAGTGGACCAGAGTGAAGAATGCAATGCACTAGCGCATTCCATCAGCTCAACCTTTGTTTTCTTTGCAAGGGGCCACTGCTTACATCTCATCCCCATTCCAGATCTCTCAGGATTCGTCTGAATCTAGATCTAGATTCTAGAAAAGTAAGTCTAGATAAGTAAGATCCTCCATAAACCACTCCTTTTAGGGGCCTCATCTTTGCAGAAGAGTTGATGTTGATGACCAGTGGAGTAAAAAGCAGTAGCTTAGCACCTCATTGGTGACTAGTAAAACTGGAAGACACAAGGACTCATTTTTTCACATCCCAGGATGATGTGATAGGATCCCTGCTGCCAAAAAACATCCTTACTCAGAAAAGAGATTTTCATTTTTGTCACTAATACAGTTAAACCCGGTTGGGGCCATTCTTTTGCCTTCTTCCATTTGCTTTTGCCATCAGGGTCAGTGGCTAGCAAATAATACCCACTACATCTGAAGCACCCAAATTATCCCAAGGGCTAAGCTAGTGTTTTTTTGTGAGAGACCATTACAGATAGAAAGAAACTGAAAGAGAAGTGTACCCGGCCCAGCCTTGAGTTGCCTAGTCACCCTCCTGAAGTATCCAGCTCCCTGCTAAGGCTCCACATAACATGTCTAGTGCCAAGGCGCAGTAAACCTCAGGGTATTGAGTACAGTTGGCGAGCATGGATCCCAGGAGGAATGTCGAGGGTTTTCCCGCTTGTATTTAAGCTGCTACAAGGCAAGGGACAGAGCTAGTTCTCTCATTTCCAGGGGTTGCTCTGTGTATCTATTAGCTTATACAAACTGGCTCAGACAATCCTATTCAGAAAGTGGCTCCCATATGCCATCACCATGGCCAAAGACTAAAGTTCAGTCTCCTTCTTTCACTGCACTGCTAAAAGTTAATTTCATTTCATAAGCACTTCTGTCATGTCCAGTGCACCCTGCTAGACCCAGGTGGATATACAAAGACAAGCCAGTTTACTGAGAGCCATTTACCAACCTTATAGAAGAAGCTACTACAGGGCTTATAATAACCAGTGAGGGCAGCACACCATCCTTGTCAGTCATGGGTAGAACTCCTCCAGAGCACAGCATCATTCACTGCTCAGCAGCTGTGCTGAGAAGAGCTGTCATGGGGGAGAAGCCAAGTTGGTGCAGTGATACCCTGTTCGGTTGACATTTACTCCCTTCTCCACGCCCTTTGTGGGCCATGGGCCCAGGAGATAGAAGCCATGATTACATAGATTTAGTTCTGGAAGGGACCCTAGAATCCCTGAGTCCAGCCCCCTCATTTTACTGATGAGGAAGCTGAATCCCAAGATGGTTAAGTGACTTGCCTAGGGTCACACCACTAGTAAGTGGTTGAGATGGGATTCAAGCCCAGATATCCTGACTCCCAAGTCCAATGCCACATATTACCTCCCCACTACCTCAAGTCTGCATCCTGCAGGAAACTGGCTCCTCTGTCTTCTGAACACTTTGAGATGTGAGAGGAGACAGAAACAGTTCAGGGATGATGCATGAGTGCCACATTCTCTGCAGTGGTCCCATCCCTTAACTTTGCAGCAAATAAAACCTGCAGTGTTTTCTCATTATCTTACTCCTGGGCAGGAGCTTGTGACAGTACTTGAAAAAAAATGTATTTTTACTTTTTTTTCCCCTTTGCCTTAAGTGTCTTCATACAAGTATCCAAACATCTCAAAAAAGCATTGTTCTCCTCTCCTGTCTCTTAAAAACGAAATTGGGAGAGACCAAGGGGCCGTATTTTTTTCTCCATTCCTGGATTCCAGTTCTTGTCCTTAAGCACATCACACCTTTGGATGTCAGTTGTAGTATTTTGCAGCTTGGAAACAAGGGTGGGGGTGGACAGAGAGAAGAAAAAGAAAACTTGGGTTCCTGATGTGGAAATAAATCACTGAGGCTTGGCAGATTGTGCATTAAAAGATACACAGCACGCACACACACACACACACACACACACACCCATCCAGCTTGGCTCTGATTGGATGAACAGCTAGCAGTATAGTATAGTTCACCGCCATCTGTAGCTTCTCTGTAGAATCCCACAACGCAGGGACTTCTTTCAAAGTCACTGAGAGTTTGGCCGCCAGGACCCTAGAATGAGACATTAGGGAGCAGCAGGTGGGAAGGTTTAAAGGTACAAGACCATCCTACAACAGAGCTGTGGAGCTGATTGTTTTAGAAACATGCTTAGAACGAGAGTCTGAACACCAGACTCTGGCTGGTAAGATATCCCGGCCAAGTAGCAAAGGTACAGAAATGAATGGCAGCCAGGTCTGCTCGTAGTTGGGTTTAGACAAAACAGGAGAGTAGGATTGTATTTTTTTAAAAGAATGTTATCAGAATGAGAATATTTCACTAAAAAAAAATTTCCAAATTCTCAGGTAGTATCTGACCAACTTTGCTCAAGGAAGAACTCAAAAATGATGATGATCTCTCGAATCTGTAAAGTGTTTCATTTTTTAAAAGCACATTCACATCTGTTACCTCATTTGATCCTTACAATGTCTTGAGGAAGTAGATACTATAGGGATTCTTCTCCTCAGGGAACTAAAGTAAGTGAAGTGGCTCATCCAGATCACAGCGATAGAGAGTGGTAAAGCCAGAATCAAAATTGCTACCATATCAGTCTTAGACCAGAGGTCTTTCCTGCATTCTATGTAGAGGAGTAGAAACATTAGTAAGTCTCTTGCTTTTTCTGTACCCTTTTGTTTGTACTTTTCAGTGTTATCTCTTGTTAGCCATACGTCAACTCTGAGAGATAGGGAGGAAAACCATCATGTTCCCCATTGTACAAATGGAGAAATTGAGGCCCTGGAAGGAGTAGAGACTTACCAAAGACCATACATCTGTTCAGTGTGAGAGCCAGCACTCGAACCCAGATATAAAACAGGCCAGGCCATGTAGGAAAGGTAGTATCACCTGCCAGCTGTCCTTTGCAATTAGAAGGTTGAATCATCATGAACATCAGCCATACGATATTACCTAGTTCTAATATAGATCCAGGCTTTTGTGCCCTTCACAGTGAAAAAGCTTTCTACTCTCACCTACATTTCTGCTGCGACAGTCAAGCCCCAGATGTAAATATTTCCATATATCCCATTAGGGCTCATCATTTCATCATTGTGCCTTGGGACACACGCACACAAGCTGGAATTTGGAACTATTGTTTTTCCATCACCACCTAAACTAGAGTGACATGGACAAGTTCCAAGTGAATGAAACTTAGAGCATCACTCTTTTGCTGGCCATTGAGCCTGTGATGTTGATACCGAGGAGATCTTGGTGTTCCTTGATTACCCTCAGCTCGTGCATTCCAATCTCCCCACCAGAGTACTTGGCCAACTCTGATCTGTGATGCCCTTGGATTTAACAGTTAGAAATCAGTATATGTACCATGTGAGTAGATGTCATTTTTTTGAGTTGTCATGTCATCGAAGGTTCTCTAACCTCAAATGTCCTGGAATAACAGCTACCATCACCATATATAGCAAGCCTGCCAGTTACTTTCTCTACACCTTGTTGTAAAGCTCAGGTACTGACCAGCTTCCCTTCCCTATCCTTTCTCTCCTCACCTATCACTCCCCATTGTCCTCCCTCCCACCTATTTCTTCATCACCTTCAGTTGCAATTCTCCTTGGTTCTCCAGGCTGGAGGTGAACGAATTCATAAAAGGTGTACAGGTCATCAGTGACTAGAAATGACTCACTAAGTCCATGGAAAACAAAAATAATAAATAGCTGACATGTTAGCATAGTGCTTGAAGATGCTTTGTATTTGAGCCTCACAAAGGCTTACAAAGAGTCAGGGATGATGATGTAACTTATAATTCTCATTTTACAGGTGAAGGAAACAATCTCAGGTTAAGTACCCATGGTCTTGAACTGAGGCCTTCCCAGCCACAAGTCCAGCATCTCTATTTCCTATACCACACTAAGTCTGAAGTGGAAAATCCAGCCATTGACAGTGCTAGTCCAAATAACAAGACAGGGGTGTTGTATTTGACTTGGCCCCAGGCTCATCAGGGACTACCAAGAGGCTATATTCTAATTTGGGGGGGGGGGGCAGGGGAGTTTCTTCTCCTGGGGTGACTACTGAGGAGGTGAGATACATGGAGCTCAGGGAGCTGGCCTCAGGCTACTCAGGGGTGAAAATGGAGGGGGGATAACACTGAAGGCTGAGAAGCTCCAATGCCTTTGTTGTCTTTGCAGGTTTTGACAGAACTCAAATCCGACAACCAGAGGCTGAAAGATGAAAATGGTGCCCTCATCAGAGTTATCAGCAAGCTGTCCAAATAGACTAATTCTTTGGAAGGGAAAGCACTTGCTGCCCCCCAGCTCCCATTCCCCTCTGCCTCCTCCTTCCAACCAAAAAGAGTCAGTGTTTGTGACTGAAGGACCCCTTCCTGTCCCACCACCCCAAACATTTATTTTTACTGCAGACCCCAGATCTCGTCTACCCCCGTGTTTTAGGAGATTTTTCATGGAAACATAATGGTAATGAGAGGTGGCCCTCTGGGGCAGGGTGGAGTGCCTCTGGAGGCAGGCCCCGGACCTACCTAGTGCTCGACCACTCTGTTCAAGCTAGACTCGGTCCAGACCTGAAAGGCTTATCTCCCCTAACCAGCACCATTGCAGCTGTAGCCTGCTCCATTGGCCCTGTGTGTGTTGGGGGGAGGAGGGTGGATCAGTGTGAAGGCTGCCACCTGCTGGCCCAGGGATCCTATTGGGAGTGCCGTGTGCCCAAGGAAAACAGCTGGACTTTGATTTAATCACCAGACAACCACCAGGGGCATGTTTTTATTAGACTTGGGTGACAGTTGCTTCACAGTGAAACTCTGTTCTCATCCTCCCAGAAAACAACTTTTCATGGCGGCTACATGACTTCTATTTCATCTATCTGGTGACATTGCAGAAAAGCCTCAGCCTCCACTTCGCCTTGTCCAGTCTTCTCCCCAAGGCCCACATGGCCTGACTTCACTTAGTGTTTTCTTCCTCTCCTTTTTCCTTCCCACTTGGCCACCCATCTAGAATCCATGTTGTAGCGTCTGAGCTCCATTGGCCTTAGCTACTTGGAATGGTATTTTCTGAAGCTGTCAGGGGAAAAGAATGACCCTGTCAGCCCGCAGCACCTGCTCCCTCTCCGAGGGTGGTGTCATGTACCATGTAGGGTGCACACAAGCCCTCACCCATTATTCTAGATGATATGTAAGAGGCTGTGAAAACCCCACTCCAGCCCCATTCCAGGGAGGATGTTTTGTTTTGTTTTCTTTTTCCTCTCAGCCTTACTGCATGTCCCTGGTGGGAAAATAACCCAACATAAGGAGGCTCAGGGAGAGGGATTCAGGTGAAAGTCAGAGAGTGGAGACAAGTTGGAAAGAGGCTTACGTTGTGTTGGTGGGAAATCATCCCTTGAACATAACAACCAAGAAGACTGAAGGCAACTCATTGTGTTGCTGGGATGAGAACCGAAGGAATTTAAATGTTGGAAGAACATGGTGGTCAGCTCTTAGAGGCATTTCCATCTTAAAATCAATGGGGAAACCACTTAGGGGAGAAGCAAAAAGAAAGATGGAGTGTCTTCAAACTATTGAAGTTGAGTTATGATATCATAGAGTCTTAGAGCTGGGAGGGGCCAGAGGTCATTTAATCCAACCAACCAACTAATGCTTCTACAACATCTTGGGCAGAACAGATGATTGATCATCCTCTACTTGAACACTTCCAGTGACAGGAAGCTCACTATAAGAAAGTGTGTTCCATTATTAGCTAGCTTGAATTTTTAGGAAGTTCTTCCTAAATCTAACACTATGTTCCACTCTTTGATACAATGTGCCCTCTGGAGCCATACAATTAATCTAATGTTTCTTCACTGTAGTCATTTAACTATTTGAAGACAATTATCATGGACTTCCCCCTTCCCAGGTGTCTTCTCTATGCCAAATATCCTTCAACTGTTCTTCCTGACAGTTTCCAGGCTCTCCGCTGTCCTGGTCACCATCTCCTAGCCATGATGCTCTTGATGTGGTGTGACCAGTGAAGCATATGGTAGAACTATTACCTCCCTAGATCAGGACACTCTGTCTTTATTAATGCAGTCTGAGAGAGCATTAGCTGTCTTAGCAGCTGCATCACACTGTTGGCTCATATTGAGTTTCTGGTCAATTAAAACCACCCCTGGTCTTTTTCACTGACATGACTGTGGGGGTACCATCCTTGATGCATAAAATTCAGTGAGTTATCATTCGAGTCCAGTGATCAGTTTTCTCATGTATACTGCCTCTCTCCACTCTGAGTCTCCTCTATTCATCAAGGTAGAGAAACTCTTAGTAGGTGTATGAAGCATCTAGCAATCAGAAGTTACATTTCAAGAGTTTCAAACTTAATCTTCCTCGCCAAAACTCAGTTTTTGTAGTTTGCAAAGTGATGTGTTGATTCCTTTCCCAACCATTGTCAAGGAAAACTATTATACTATGATATTTGGGTGGCATTTCAGAGTTGTGAAAATATTCAGTTCAGGGTAATGAGTGAGATGAGTTGTACTATAAGCATTTACTTTATTCTCATCAATGAGATAGCCTATAAAGTCATAAAGACACTGGAATGTTATCTAGCCATGTTTTGGTCATTTGGGGAATTCCAATAGTATCTCCCCTCGGAGAAAAAAATCAAATTCTTCAAATATCTCTGGCCATCTCAATAGTGAGATCAAATAGGACTTCTTAGATTTTCTTATGTTGGTGCAGTCCCCCTCAGTTGACATTTCCAGAAACCTCCCTCTTGTCTTTTCTGACTGTAGACCATGTCCGATTCCCTCTTCAACCTTCTAACCCCTCCTTCCAGCTTCTGCCCGACTTTGTCAAAGAGACCTAGGTGTACCTACTTGGTTTTCTGAAGCCTTTTCATGCAGCTCACTACCAGCCCCCAAACACATATGCTTACCTATTCTACACTGCCCTCCAGGAAGTGAGAGACTCTCCATTAAACCTGGGGTGTCTATGAAGCAGAGAGTACTTGAGTTAGTTAAAAAAAAAAAACAACAAAGCCCAACTTCTTTGTTTAAATGAAAAAGCTACTGAAATGGAGTTAAGCAAGGGGGACTCATAAGGCTGTGCACTCCACTGCATTGCCTCAGACCCTGGTCACCCTCTTAGTCACCACCACCACCACCACCACTTCCAGAATTATGGCAGGGTGCCTTTGAATCCTATCATATTGTCCACTCAGAAGTGGCAGCATTTCATTCTACATCACTTCTTGCTGCAGATTGGACAGCATAGGTGATAGTGGTGGCATCAAAAGGCTCCATGAGCCCTCCCTTGGCAAGTAAATGAAAATTTCAGCAAATAATAAGTTCATTGCACAAGGCATGGTGCCTGGGGCCAGGAATACAAAGATAAGAATGAGAAGGCCCCCTAGACTAGTATATTGTAGGAAGAAATGATGTGGAGAAAATATTTCTTTGGATTTTACTAATTCTTCATTCCTAAATCCTCCATCCCCACTATCCTGATATATCTCAGGGCATTGCCCTCCCATATATTCGCCTACTGACTGGCCCCACTGGTTTCAGTCAGTCTAGATGAAGTGGGAATCTGGTTTGTAACCCTAGAGCCCCCTTTTGGCTCCTGGATCTTGGCATTAAGGTATTGCCAGGGTTTTATCAAATTCTTGGCCCCCATCTCCAGCTAGTGCTTGATCATCGTGCATGAGCCTTGTGGAAATGGCCACAGCCTAGCACAGACGCAGTCCCTTTGTACCAAGAAATGAAGCAGCATTGAGAGAAAATGAAGACAACCGCTTAGAAGGGGTTAGCCCTGGGGTTTTGTCACAGACCACATAACCTCGGATGTGATATTTCTGGGCCTGTTTTCTCATCTGTAAAATGAGGGAGGCTCACTAGATGATCTCGCACACCAAGAGTCTATGATGGGTTTTAGAAGATTAGAACATTTTTCTATCCTCAGCAGAACTGCTGCTGTGTGTTACTTGGAAAACTCAAGCACAAGATCATCATTGTTTTCTTCTGAATAGGAGTCTTCAGCATCAGTGGGTCAAGACTGGCTTGTCAGCCTAGTTGGAAAGTGATTTTAATACTGAGAGTGATTGAATGGTGTTACATTTGCTCTTCCTCCAAATGGCTCCATAAGAACATTACAGCCTGTGGAGGGGGAAATTGAAGCTTGTGGCAAAATGGACAGAAAGCAATTTGTGGTGAAGTTTTAATGGGAAATGGGGGTAGCTCTTTGTAGGTCTGGCCCACCACCTTCCCAAGGCTTCTCACTTGGTTTCCACTGTTCTTAACTCCAGGCCCACAGTACTGCCTGACATATTCCACAGTGTATTCTCTAAGCACCAGCTTTTTCACAGGTGGACCCAAGTTCTGCAGCAAAAAAAGAGAAAAATTTCACTTTGCGGATGCCCGCAGTTTGGGTTCCTTAGAGCTTAGCTAGAGTTAGGACTGTTTGGTGTGAGGAGTGGCTGAGGTTTTGTTCGAAGTAATTTCCCATGAGAGTAGAAGGTTTGTAAAGGAGACCACTGGGTCAGTAAGAGATGGCAAACAGGCAGGAGGAGCCCTGTCTTACTGAGCACCAGCTGTCTTCAGCAAATTGGTCCGTGGAGTAAGAGATGGAAGTGCAATGAGTAGGACCGGAGGTTGGAAGCCCTGTAAGGGAGAGTTGCCTGTACAGGCACACAGGAAGCATACAGAAGGAAGACCTAGACAGTGGGATTGAGGATTGCAATGAATGGAGGCTGGGGCTGTCACTGAAAGGGAAGGTCAGCCATACAGAATTAAAGCTTCAGCCTGCAGTACAAAATCATTGCTCTAGATTTTAATCAATTTACTTAATGGGTATTGAAACTTTAGGAGCATCAGCCCAACATTGTGGCTGCTATTGATCTCCTGCATTCTGATTACTTTGGAAAAACAGACCAACTTCTTCCTGCAGCCAAGGAACTGTTAGTGTGACAGCTATCAACCAATAAGGCAGTTCACTGGAGAAGAATTCCAGTAGGAAACTTTGCCCACCAGAGAGGATCTGCCACCTAACTTTTGGGAGTAATGGTCAAAGAATGACCCCTACCCATTCTGCAGGTCACTTAGGATCAATAGCTGCTCCATCCTCAAAAAAAAGAGCTACTGATAAAATCTGATTGGGAAGGCAGAAATTTGGTTTTATAGCTTTTCCATTAATGGTTGTTCTGACTTCATCTAAGATACATTAGAAGTTTTAAGATTGTTCTTTTATCAATGACACTGAGCTGATATCAACGCTGTGCAAAGATGTGGGCCACTCAGTTGGAGATGTGATCATAGGACACCATTGTCTTCAATGGTCCCAACAGGTTATCTCTTCTTATCCCCAGCCCTTCAAGGAACTATCTTGGGAGCCCTCCCTTTTGATAATCTCTCCACCTTCTTTGGACCATGGAGGTGATGTCATTTGGATTATCTCTTCTCAAATCCTCCCTCATTGCCCCCATGAAATCCCTTTCCCCTTTTCAATGTCACCTAAGGGTTACATCAGGACACCCTTATGTCCTTCAGGAGCTACTAGCTCTCCCTTTCTCTTTCTTCCCCACATTTGCCTCCTCCTGTCATAAGGCTTTTGAAGTGGATGTTCGTTTAGGGAGGGAGCTTTTCCAAGAATGCAGTGAGGTGGAAGATGAACACCATATAACGCCCTCAGCTTCAGGGACCCTGATGTCTTAATGGGCTAGCGGCTGAGATTTAACCGGTAGGGCTTATGTTCAGGATATCCTCCTGTTATGTCTAGGAGGGCCACAGAACAATGATTCCAGACCTTTTTTTTCCAGGGATCAGTGCTGAATGTGTCCTGGACTCTCCTTAATTTCCCTGTCACTCTTTTAGTGAAGCCAGTAAGGGCTCATGGGGTAGCCACGGGAAAATAAAGATCATTCTCCCGTTCATCCAGGTTTTGTCCTTAGTAACTCAGCTATTTCTCACTTGGTCACAATGTGTCTGGGTCCAGTTGATACCCTCCAGCTCAGTGAATGGAAATCTGACTGAGGGCTGGGTACATCTTTTGTCCGTAATTTGGTGCATACCTGCTCCAACCAGAGGATTCCAGGAGTGATTGTCAGGGGGAACCTAGTTTTCTTCAGTGAACTGTGTTCCCTTTAGATATCAGAGGGAGGAGACATCCTGAAGGGTAAGAGGCTATGGTGAGGACCATACTTAGGCTGGGACACTCTGCCATGCAGATACAAGCCAGACCCCCACTTTTATTAAGGCTTCTTTGTCCCTCCCTCACAAAATAGTAAGCCCAGGAATAGAAATTCTAACAAAGTGTTTGATGGAGAACAGGAAGAGGTCTGAAGCTGCTTGTTAACAAGAACCAATGGGAATGGCTAGAGAAGCCCCTGAATGAGGCCTGAGTATTGTCTGAATCCCCATAAACCTCCTTCCTTAGCTCAGTCTGGTAGCCCTTCCCCTAGCTGGTGGCCCTAAGTAGTGCCCTGAATACCTAGCCCATGGTTGGAATGGGCTTTCTTCTCCCCCTTCCCGTTTTGCCACTCGGGCAGAACACAACCCCTTTCTCCCCTGTATGATTTGGAGATAGGCTTTGTAGCTTTTCTGCTTTTCTTCCTCCTGCTCTACCTAGATTAGAATGATGGAAATGGCCAGAATCACTTGGACAGCTGCACTACCTTCCTACTTGGAGGGAAACACTCTATGTCTTCTGCATCTTTTCATCCCTTAACCCTACTTCCACCACTGTTAAAGCACTGGATATAACCATGGTTTTTTTTTCAGCTGAATTGTATGGACTAACTTCAGTCAACTGTAAATACACTGGGGGGAGGGGGAGGGAAAGGGAGGGGATGTGGGACTCTTGTGACCCGAATGTATTTTTATGCAAATTTGAGTGGCCTTTCAACTCTGAGATGAATGATATTGTTTTACTGGTTGTCACTATATAGTATTATTATGTGTTTGAAAGTTTGAGATAATAATATTCACATCTATATGATGCCTGTAAACACAACAGTATTTATAAATGAGTAAATAAAACTGTGTTTTAACTTTGGGTTTATAGGATCTTGCATCTGGAAAGAATTTGTTGAGTATTATTTCATTGATTCACCTGCCTCCATTCAGGAACATCCAGGCTCCCCTTGACAGGTGGGGACAGAAATGACTATCACTCTCCCATCCATTTTAAAGGACTTCCCAACCTCAAGAAGGCTCTCAGGAAATTAAAAGGCCAGAAGAGGGACCTGTGCATAAGAGAAACACTAAAAGGGAAAGTGTTACCAAGACCAGAGTAGCTTGAGGTGTTTGAGGCAAAAAAGCTGTCTAAGGTGAGGCCCAGAGAGGCGGGCCAAGTGGCTTGCTTTCCCTAGGGTTATTTGGCAAGTTTTGACTAGTCTGTTGGTCAACTAACATCCACTCTAAAGCTCTTAGCATTTTTTACTAGACTTGGACAATTTAACAAATTCAACAAAATGATTGTCCACTACAGGGAAAGGACTGTGCCATGTGCTAGGGATACAAAGACAGGAGTGAGAACCAGCCCCGTGACCGCCAGCAGCTTACGTTCTCTTTCATGAGTCCATTGCTTAATTGAGGAGATCCAAATTCCCTGCAAAAATAACTGGGGATGGAGACATGAGGGGGTCAGAGCAGAGAGGAGTAGTAGGAATGTTTGTCTCGAGGCAGACTGTTGCATCCCACCCCTACCCCCAACCTCCCACCTTTCACTTCAGGGGTGGTTACTACCAAGGTGGTACCTTCTAGGTGGCCCAGATTTGACCTGCCTCAGCGGAAGTTAAATTCCAGAACCATCTCTGGCTTTTTTCAACCTGTTGGTTTCTACCAAGTGGAAATCCTTGGTCACTGCCTTGGAGCAAACAGTACTTGGACAGGGAAGGAAAATTCCTTTCCCCTGCAGTCATGCTGTTTGGGGCCAAAGTAGCAGCCTGCTTTGCACACATGATGTCATAGTTGAAAAGTTCAGGCCTGGTCAGAAAAGGGGATCCTTGGCAGCAAAATGGGGAGGGCAGGATGGGGGGCTGGGGGGGGAGGAAGAATCTTTGGGTGTTATCGTGGGGGCAGCCCAAGTCCCTGAGGGAATGTTGGGAGCCCAGAGTTTTAATTCTACCTCTGATCCTATGATACTGGGAGTCCAGAGGAGTTGCTTCATCTCTGGGCCTCTCTCTTTCACTTTGTAAAAGAACAGCCTGAGCACTTTTCTTAGAATGTGTATACTTCCCAGGGATGTGGCAGAGGCTCAGGTCTGGCCGTGCCATTCATCCACCTGCCTTTCGGTGGGGAAAAAATGCCTTCTCTTCAACCCTCCACACGCAGGAGATTCTCTTATCTATCCCTTGTGCTGGTAATGACGCTCACTTCACCTTGCCTTGCCCTCCCTTGAAACGAGTTCATCACCATTCAGGTTTCCTTGCCCCAGCCCCAAGGACTATGTTATTATTGTTGGTCATTTCAGTCACATCCAACTCTTTGTGACCCCATTTGGCATTTTCTTGGCAGAGATACTGGGGTGGCTTGCCATTCCTTCTCCAGTTCATTTTACAGATGAGGAAAACTGAGGCAAACACGCTGAAGTGACTTGCCCAGGGTTACACAGTTAGAATTTGAACTAGGCTGAATTTGAACTAGGGAAGATGAGTCTTCGTGATTCCAGGCCCAGCATTCTAACCATTGTGCCACCTAGCTGCCCCAAGGGACTATATACTATCCCTTTTATATCATCCCTTTCCTGTATTTCCCATATCCTGTATTGTGATGGTTGGTTTTTCCCTGTAATCCCTCTTCCTTTATCAGTCAATGAGTTGGTATCAAAGTATCTGAACTCCCAGGAAGCCCTTAGAATCTTGTTCCACTCCTCAACTACCTCCCCCCACCGCCACCCCACCAATGCCCGGACAAAAACTCTCACTCCATTGGGTGGGAGGAGAGGGTGGGGATGGGGTGAAGACGGGATCATAAGCTGGTTTGGGACAAGAAGTGCTCTAAGCAGCTGAGGCAGCCTCATTGTAATCTTAATGCAACACCCTCCCCTGCCCTCCTCCTCCCCCCTGGCTGGCTCGTTCTCAGCTGGAGAGTAATTCGGCCATTTCAGGATAATTGGAATCTCACAGCCCCATTCCAGGACCAGGGGCATGGAAGATGCTCGGTGTGAATTCTCTAAATGGCAGAAGCAGCAGCAGCAGCAGCAGCTGCTTCAACAACGTGCTGAAAATAAGAAGGTAGGTGGGGATGAAAAGGGAACTGAGCAGAGGCTTAGCTATTTCTTGGAACCATTTTTGAGATCCTGCACCTGAGGCCCAGGTCTTGCACAAGGTACTCCTCACACCTTGCTACAGGGTAATCAGAAATCAATTTGTAACTGAAGGTTCAGAAAAAATCCTCAACCCCATTTTCAAAGCCCTGAGCGGGAGCCAGATACAGCTTCCCTTGGTTGACTGGCCATACCCTCAGCATTGGCTGTAGGTGTCCTCATTCAGCTTTGGCCCTCCAAGGGGCTGCTTTCCTTCCACCCCTAGGCCCTCAAGAAAAAGTTAGGGCCACTTAGAAAATGCCAGAATGCTTCATTGGCTGTCCATCCCTGCCCTCAACCATACACTGCAGCATGTGCATCCATTCCCCTTCCTTCATCAGTGGAGAACAGGCCTTGTACGGGACTTGCTGCCCTTCTCTGCGGTTCCATTCCTCAATGTGCTAAGCAGTAGACTGTTCACCCCAAGGCCTCGGGACCCCATCCCTCCACACCCATCATCCCTACCCCTTCCCTACCCAGCAAGAACAGACTAGAGTCTCCCCCCACCCCCAGCGTTCTTTCAGCTCGTTTCTTTAATAAGGAGACACAGCTCTTTACAAAATAACAATTTGACAAGAAATCAGACAAAAACAAGAGTCCACACTAGGGAAGGGGTTCATTGCCAGGCTTGGGGAAAGGGGGAAAGAGAGGGGGCTGGGACCTGATAGGTAAGGAGCAACATCTGTGCATTTATCTTTCATGTGAGACAAGGTTGGGGAGATATCTGATGAGGATGACATCCAGCGACCAGCTGGGGTAGGGGGGCACAATGAGGTATCCTTGGGTCCACCCCAGCTCTGGTTGTTCTGTAGGTCCCAGGATATTCAGGAAGAAGCAAGCCAGTTTCCTGGATTGGGGATTGGGGGTAGTGGTTCAGATTTCTCTCAGGAACAGTTTCTTGGGACTTCAGAGCCCTAACTCTCAAGACAGATTAGATGGAGATGTTCACCTATTCCCCAGATCACTCACTCTCTTTTCACTGCAGCCTTCTTTCCATTTCCAATCAGCTCTGGATTCGAGAAGTGGGAAAGTTCTCTCCACCCCCCCAAGCTGGGCTAGAGAGGGACCAGGTTTCTCTCCTTTTCTCTCCTCTCTCTCTGCTCTTACCACCTGTCTTCATCCACCCATGACCTCACCCCTAGGAGTGAGGAGTGAGGTACTGTCTCCAGTCTGCTCAAGAGTGGTAATTGTCTCACCAGCTCCTGCCACAGTCCACACTTGGGCCGGATCCTGGAAGCTCTTCCTCAGTGGGGTTGTGGTCTTTGGTTTTTAAAGGGACAATACCTACATTGTTCCACTGTTAGCTCTTGCTCTGTCTACCTATCAGAGTTGGATGGGTGAGGGCACGTAAGAGTGAGAGCTAACCAAAGAAGACTTGCTAACCCAGGGCATCCAGGCCTCCAGATGGAGCTCAGCCACTCCCATTGCCCATTACTTGTCATGCCTTAACCCTGCTAGGGACCCTCGTGGTCACTGCTTGGCTCTAATAGTGGCCCCTGTTGTATGAAGTTGCTGATCCCAGAGCTAGGTAGCCCGTGTTCTGTCACCTAAGCTATCTGTCACACCATGAACTTTCCAACCAGAGTGTCCAGGGCCTTCCTCCATCTCTCCCTCAATTTAATGGAGTATCAGTGTCCACACCTTCTCCAGGATGGAAGTTTCTGAGTGAGGCCCTTAACCAAAGGATAGGTTGAAATTACTTGCACTCAGTACCCTCCATCTCCCTTCTTTCTAAGCCTCTCACAATCTGATCTACCCTGCAATACTGACTCCTGCCCTGAGCCCACTCTGAACTGTGGCTGCCCTGACTCGCAGGACAAGATGGGGCAAAATAATCCAAATAATTCCTGCCTCTTGGACAGTGGCTTTTGCAATATTTTTCCAAGTGTTTTCTCATCCATTACTCCATCCAATCCTCATACTAACCCTCTAAGGTCAGAAAGGAAGGGATTTTACAGAGAGGGAAACTGAGGTGGGTGGGGCAATAACACTGGCTTGCTACTCCTAAAGAACTGACCTTGTTCCCAAAAGGGATGGAGATACAGAGTCAAGGAAGGGATAGAACCAAAAACCTTGACACCACAGCAAAAGGAACCAGCTGGTTCTGGAGCTCTCCAGAGATCATTTGCTGAGGACCCAAAGGAAAGCTATGAAGACTTCATCTGATGAAATAAGGAATAGGAGGGTGGATGGGGGCAGTAGGTGAGCCCTTCACAAATAGCTTCAGGAAACCCACTGGAAAGGACACTGGGGACTAGAGGGCAGGTGTCTGACAGGCCGGCCCTATTATGGCTTATCAGTTAGTTCAGATATTGGGGAGGGATGGATACATTGTACATGGAACACAGAAGCCACATTTACACTGAATATCAGATCAGGGTACAGTGCAACAAAGATACATTTGGTTCTACAAAACCCAACAAAGACAGATGAGAGACTGGGAGGGAGAGGACAGGGTAAGGGGGCAGGGGAGGAAGATTGGTTCTGATTTTTTTCACTTCTTAGATGGACCGCATGCGCAAAAGGCCAGCTCCCCACTTGGAGGAGGACTCAGTCACATGATAGCCATCAAATGGAAGGTTTTCTCTTTTAGGGATGGGAAGACAGGACTCGTTCATACCACATAAAAAAAATGAAGTCATAGCCTTGATGGGTTCTGTAAAATGGCTGTGGATCAGTGGGGAGAGAATCTCAGTATTGTCATGCGGCTATTTACAGAAGGCTTATTAACATGCACCTTAATTAAACGTCTTGTTCA